TAGTCAACTTCATTTAACATCTATATGCTATTTGATGCTGAGTCCCAGCCGAGTGATTCACAACACAATGGAAGGCTCAATGATGTCTTTGAAGTGAAGTGAAGAGAGGAGTAAAACAAGGCTGTCTACTCTATCACCCATGATATTCCTGATTATGGTGGACTAAATCATGCAACGAGCAGTGAGGAGCGATAAGAGGGGGATACACTGTATCGGGGAAAGGAACCTCGAAGATTTGGATTTCGCCGATGAATTGTGTCTGACGTCACACAAACTAGACGATCTACAGGCAATAACTAACAAGTTGACAGAAGAGGAGAGGCATGGCAGCGACGACAGGACTTCAAGTGAACGTAGATAGGACAGAGGTGATGAAGATACCCAACCAAAGCCACCACCAGCAACAACAACGAGCGCCAATCACCATCGACGGGAGAAACTTAAAGGAAGTAACCTCATTCACCTGTGTAGGCAGCATCGTTTCAGTTACAGGTGGCGTCACAGACGAGGATGTCAAAGCCAGGATCGGAAAGGCAGCAAGACAGGCCTTCATTAATCTGAATCCAGTGTGGAGATCTTCTGTACTCAGCATGTGGAACAAGATCCGGATTTTCAACAGTAACGTCAGTCAAGTGAGTTAGTGCTTCAATGTGATGGTTGAGAGACTTGGCTTATTACGAAGAGCATTTCCAACAAACTACAGATACTCCTCAACAACTGCCACCTACGCTCACTCGATACTGACACTTAAGTTCAGATGGCCAGAATAATCCGAATAAGGAACTAGGAACTCTGACTGACTAGCTAACTGGCTGGCAACGAACCAACCGGGCAGCTATCGCCCAATAAATATGCAGTAGAAGAAAGTGGAGATGGACTGGATTGGGCATATACTGAGAAGACTGACTGAGGACATCACGTGCCAAATCAGGCCCTCGAGTGGAAGACAAATGAGAAACTACGAGCTGGGCATCTCAGTAGTAGGTGACATGGATGAGATGGTGTGAGGAATAAATGAAAGCTTGTGGGCAGTCGTGTAGCCAGGTTGAAAGATTGTAGAGACTAGAGTGAGATGGCGACTTGCTACTGGATTCCTATGTTCCACTAGGACGCAGAGGAGAAATAATATCATATAACTTTTTCCAGGTGTGAACATAGTTCTACGGCTGAGAAAATTACCTTCCTGTTCGCATATTTGTGTTTCGAAATACATTAGTAGTAATGATACATGTATTTGAGGTCTTTTATGTCACCTGTTCTACTTTGTGACGTTTTCACCCTGAACTAACTGGTCATGGCAATTATTATTATTAGTCCCTTGGGTTCCTAATGGAACATAGGGCTTCAGTAGCATGTCTCCAGTGAACTCTGTTCTCTGAAATCTTTTGATCCTGGTTCCACGACAGCCCACAAGCTCTCATTTCTTGCTCGCACGATCTTCTCCATGTCACCCTCGGACGTCCAACTCGTCGCTTCCCATAGGGATTCCACTCGAGGGCCTGACGCGTGATGTCCTCAGTCGGCTTTCACAGTGTATGGCCAATCCAATCCATCTCCACTTCCTTTTGCATATTTGTTGGGTGATAGGTTCTTGGTTGGTTCGTCCCCAGAGCTCCTTGTTGCTTATTCTCACTATTCTGGCCATCTGATCTTCAGTAACGAGCCAGCGTAGGCAGCAGTTGTTGATGAATGTCTGTAATTTATTGGAAATAACTTTCGTAACGCGCCAAGTCTATGAACCATACAGAAGCACTGACTTGACTGGGTTGGTGTTGAAAATCCGAATCTTGTTCCACATGCTGAGTGCAGAAGATCTCTACAATGGTTTCAGGCTAATGAACGCTTGCCTTGCTTTTCCGATTCTGACTTTGACATCCTCATCTCTGATGCCACCTGTAGTTGAAACAGTGCTGCCCAGATAGGTGAATGAGGTTACTTCCTTTAAGTTTCTCCCGTCGATGGTGATTGGCGCTCGTTGTTGTTGCTGGTGGTGGCGTTGGTTGGGTATCTTCATCACCTCTGTCTTCTCTACGTTCACTTGAAGTCCTGTCGTCGCTGCCCTGCCTCTCCTCTTCTGTCAACTTGTTAGTTATTGCCTGTAGATCGTCTAGTTTGTGTGACGTCAGACACAATTCATCGGCGAAATCTAAATCTTCTAGGTTCTTTTCCGCGGTCAGGTGTATCCCCTCTTATTGTTGGTCACCGTTTATTGCATGATCCAGTCCACCACAATCAAGAAGACCATGCGTGATAGTAGGTGGCGGCCTTGTCTTACTCCTTCCTGTCTTCACTTCAAATGCATCACTGAGCATCCCATTGTGAATTACTTGGCATGTCGCGTCTTCACATAGTTGTTGAATGAGGTTGATAAAGGTTTGTGGCACTAGAACCGTAGTGTTGAAGCAGCTGCCTGCCAAATTACTTGTCGATCGACGCTGTCAAATGCCTTCTCAAAGTCGATGAAGTTGAGGTAGAGGGTTGACTGGCATTCTATACTCTGTTCAATGATAATGCGAAGCGTTGCAATATGGTCCGCAAATGATTTGTACTTGCTGAAGTCAGCTCGCCTGCCTGTTCCGGTTGTAGTTTTGAATCCAGTGCATGCTTTAGTCTCTACAGCATAATGCGGCTTAATATCTTGCCTACTTGGTGTGGACAGGAGCGTGATTCCGCACCAGTTCTTGCAAACACTGAGGTCGCCGTTCTTCGGGAGTTTGACAAGATAGCCCTTCTTCCAGTCACTAGCGAGGTACCTTCCCTTCCTCCCACACACTCTGCAATAGTGGTGTGAGCATGTCTGCTGTTGTCTCTGTGTCTGCTCTTAGTGCTTCTGGTGGGACCCCGTCTGATCCTGCTGCTTTCCCACATTTCAGTAGCTTTATGGTGCTCAGGACTCCCACTTTTGTTGGAGGATTTATGTTCACTTGTAGTTCTGTGACTGGACTGCTGGTGGTATTTCTGGACGAGTTGCATATGCCGCTGGTGGTGATGGTGGTGGTGGTCGATTCAAGAGCTTTTCGATGTGGTCAGCCCATCGATTCCTTTGTTTCTCCTCTTTGGTAATTAGATTTCCATCATCATCTTTTATTGGTTTCATCTGCGTTGATCTCTCCCCTCCCAGATAGTAATCTGGTTATTTGATACAATGTTGTCAGGTCTCTCCCTCCTACCAGCAGCCTATTCTGCTTCACTTGCCAGTGTTTCGTAGAAGTGTCTTTTGTCTTTGAGAGCACTCTTCTTCACTTCCTTGTCCAGTGTAGCGTTGTACACATTGTACTCAGTTCCTCTTCTCGTTGAGCATCCTTGCACTGCACTGGTTCATATTATGCTTCACCATCCTCCTCTCACTACCCTATCAGCTTCCATGTGTCCATCGAGATCCATTCCTCTTCCTGTCTTCTTTCTTCTTCCTTCCTAATACAACTGTGCAGGTTTCTTTCCACATCTCTTTCAAAGACTTCTAGTGTTCTTCCACACAGGTTTCTTCACAGATGTTTCTCGATATCTCCCATTTTGTCTTGATGGCTGACTGCCGTGAAGATTTCCTTTGTAGTTTCGTTCTTCAGTTTCCGAGTGTTGAACTTGAATGGTGGCTGTCTATCACCAACTTCCTTGAAGGATTTCAACTTGATTTGGAAGGTAGGCTCCGTGTACTAGATAATGAGTTGTCTGAGGCTACATGTGATACTCTTCTTGACCTAGTGTCAAGTAGACTGCGTCTCCACCTATTCAGATTGAGATGAAGTCGATCTGATTTCCATTGTAGTGTGTCCTGGTGTCTGGTGAAATCCATGTCGCTCGCTTTGTGGATATCCTTGTGCTTGAACACACTGCCTGACTCCAATCACCAAATCATTGAATGGGCAGAAATCTGCAAACAGTCCTCCACCATCATACATCATTTCACCGAGTGCTTCTCAACACATGGTTCGTTCTCTTCCTGTGTTCTCTTCCTGCTCCCACTTCGGCATTCATGTCACCCCACACATTAGAATTCTGATGTCGTCAACTGGGATGGGGTCTTGTCCAGTGTTGATTCCACTTGTCTGTAGAATTCCTCCTTCTTCTCCTCATCTGCATTATTTGTAGTTGAGAGTAGGTTAGCATTGAATGATTGTGACTTTCCTGTCTTTTGAGTGGAATCACGTCTTGCTTTCATGATCCTGATCATTGAGGAGATTGGTTCCCACTGTAGGAGAGCCTTCGATGCTCTTCAAGTGGACATCATGATAGCAACTCCATAACTCTGTGTGCTCGTGGTTCTCGTCTGGTTGACCGAAGTAGATTATTGACTGTGGAGTTGACAATTTGGAGAGTCCACTTCCATTCCACCTGCTTTCGCAAGTTCCAAGCACTCCAATACTATACGTTCTCATCTCTTTCGCAATCTGGGCAACCTTGCTGGGTTTGAACGTAGTGCGGACATTCCATGTCCCTATTTTTACTTTCGCTTTCATCGAGAGAGGCGAAGGCACATCGGTCAATTGGCTTCTCGAAGGCTTTCACCAACTAGCTTCATTTTGCCTCTCCGATTCCAGCGAGAAATAGATTTATTTTATTTTTGAAATATATTTTTGTGGTTTGAAGTTTGTTTAGCGGTTAGATTTGTTTTAGGTGGTAGGGTTGCTATCTTTTTGCCAAACCTTCCTGCTTGACCCGGGCTTAGGACTGGCTAGTAACTAGTGAACTAGTTAACCATGTGAGGTTATTGGAATTACAGATAATTTACTTTATTGACTACACCCAGCTTATTGATATCTTCCATATTCCATAATTCGCTTGTACACACTACTAATTCATTCCTCCTTTTCTTTTCAAATATTTATGTAGCTTAGACAAGAGTATCTACAATGTTTAACTATTTCGAGCACATGAATAATTTAGTATGGTTAATGGTTAACGGTTCAAATTCCTAAGTTGAAATAAAGTTCTTTGAAAAGTATTCATTCAGTCATTTAATCGCTTTATTCACACAACAAAACATGCAACTTCAAAGGAGTCTCACAAATAGTTGGCATTCAGCAAGTTTTCTTAAAAGATAGACAGAAAACACACGGTTTAAAATATTTACATGAAAGCAGTTAGTACAGAGTTACTAGAAAATGATTCGCTAGGCAGTCATGCCAGGTAGGTTTTCTACAAAAGATATGCAAATTAAATTGAGGCTTTGAAGTAAATGAATACTTAATTATGTCACGAATTTAAATACAGATAATTTATGAAATGATTTGAGTCACTGAATAATCAGTATTTATGAATGTTTATTGGGAAGTAGCAATGATTCCTTCTTACATTTGTAGAGTGCGATCAGATCACTAAACCTAGGTTATTTTGAAATGAATGATACATGCCGTCGAAAATCTTGCACTCGATAAGAGAGTCTGAAATTCCTGTATGATTACTCACACAGATAAACAATCATCAACAATGAGAAATAAAACAACCAATGAAATTACATTTTCGCTTCTGGTGCACACTTTAAAAAAAGATTTGACTTATAAGCCTCTGTTACCGCAAATTTCACAACAGAATTTTGAAGAACTTATCAAAAGAAGCCAAAAGTCCTGAATTAATAGTGTTCCGTTACAAAGCTCCAGGTGCGAATCTATTCTTCTCTTGTCAGCCAACTTGGATAGTGTTTGCAAGTGTGTTGCATTGTGTAAATGAAGGTGCGTGCCAGCACTTTTGTTAGACTGAAAAAAAACTGAAATTAAACCAGATGATTAAAGTACCGATTTGTTTGCGAATTATACTTAGAATTTGAAGAAACGCTCTACATAGCATGACTTCCCTTAAACTTTAGATTCTGTCTGGCAGCTTACTTTCTAGACTGTGGTATATCAGTTTACTTGGCACTTTTAACGTTCGCTTTACAGTTACCTGTAGAGATATAACTAAAAGATTTTTACGTGTAGGTTTTTGAGAAGATAAGAAACTTTTAATGGAGCATAATATATAGACATAGATACAATATGAATGGTAATTTCATCATTTTAGTTGCTATGACAATACTGTTATAGATAGTAAACGCCCACTTTTATTGATGTTAACTCCTTCAAAGATGAAAATTACGCAGTTACAATTAAAGAGATTTTAAATGAAGTGAAATAAAATCTCGAATGATAAAGCTTGGTGGCCTAAGAAATGTACTTGAACAAGAATTTTTCTTAACGAGATTGCTCTAGTCACCTGCTGATATCAGAAATAGGATTTTGTACAAATTATTCATTTTGGTTTTAGACTTTTCAGTAAATTATTGTGACAGTCCTTTAATTCCAAAACTGCTACTGATAATACATACTGCATAGGTATGGTTACCACATATATACTGTTACGAGTGTTATGACTTTTAGTACAGTAAATGGATGTTTTTCTGAAGTGCTTCATCATGATTTTACCCAAATACATAGGTTTTGAAAAGATGATATCATAATACCAAATTCATGGTTGCATTCATGAACTATATCTCATGCATGTTTAACCGATACCTAAGTGTAGTAAGGAACATTCTATTTATAAGTAACGGAATAGAAAGCGTTGTCCATGCAAGATTTATGTCATCTGTAAGATAAGGAAAAATCTCTTTATATTATTATTTATTTCATATTTTCACACCAAATGTTTGCAAAGGGAACGCATGTTTGTCAAAGGTAACCACAACTTTAGGTTTTGGTGTTTACATTCAGCAGGTTAGTTACATTTATGCACAAACTAGTGTGTGTTAGATAAATATCGAGGAAAAAGGTTTTCTAGGTGGGTAGCTTATATATTTATTCAAGGAAACATATATCATTCAAATTATGCGGATATAACGTATTAGTTAAAGAACATAGAATAAAACACGAAAAGGCAAAAAGGAATGAAGTCTCTGAGTTTTAGAACACCAATTAAACTTCTTCTGGACGATTTAGGTGAGGTTATTTGATGTTCACCTTTAAAAAGGCTGAATGGTTGTGGTGGTATAAAATATTTGAGCATGTGCTTGGAAACATTTTATCACATATTTCCTTGAATACATAGAGCTATAATCAATTAGTTTCGACAAAATTAGCCGATACCACTCTCTGTCTATGCTTCTAAAAGAGGTGGAAAAGTTATTCTTATACTCTCTGTTTTTAAAATATCATATGTTGGTTGCACTTTCTTTTGAAATTCAACCCAGGGAATAATATTTTTTTTAAAAACACGTAGACGACACTATGAGAACGGATCTATTGAATAAGCATGCCTATTCTAAATACTGATAAGTTAGAGGCTTTGAAAAAGAAACATTTGAAATATTAGTTCTGTAATTCAACTTTGGAACATCAAAGAGAGTAGTCAAACAAAAGTTCTGATGTAAATGCTCAGTTTTATTGCTAACAGTGAAGCCACATTACCAACCAAATTGTCATCATCATCGTCAAGCTGTAATCTGTTCTCATACGTTATTGAAAAGTACCCACCTTTATGGTTCTTGAAAATGCAAACGGTGCACTCTATTGACCTACTGTTTAGTTTAACCTATAGCTGTATGCTAAACGACTTCACTTACTGATGCCTAACTTGAAAAGATTTTATTTTCTACAATGTGAATAAAAAATTTGTGCATCACAAAAAATCCGCTTCAATTAAAACAATAAATTGCTTTCAACAGATTAAGAAAATTTCTGACATCATTTGAAACAGTTAAGCACCATGTGCTTTTCAGCCCAGTCTAGACTTGGCTATCAAGAAAGTGTATTTCTTTTTTTTAAAGGGGATATGAAGAAAAATCAATAAATTCTCCTTTATGTTGTGTGAAGTGATGACTAATTGGTCTTTGTTTATCTCATGTTAACATCTCCTATGTTTTCTAAAACTATTTGAACACAATTTTAAAAATAAATTTTTCTTAGGAATTACTAAAGCTATCTCAAATGCCTGAACAGAAAAAGCAAAATTTTAACTTTGAGGTATGGAAGTGGATTTCGCAGAATATAAAGAAAATCACTGGTTGGAGCAGGTCATGTACCTGTATTTTAAGTATCAACATCAGACTTACTCGATGAACACTGCTCTAAACAAGTTCTTTCAAAGTTAGTAAACAGCCTTTGTCAATTCATATTTTTCACCCAGACTAATTTAGGAATAATCAGTATATTGCTGGTATGAAAGTAATCAAAGACATTTAATTCTGAGTGACGAAGACATCTGGTGACAGAAATTGTTTCTTTATATTAAAAGCTGGCAACAACCTGACGAACGTTTCAGTACAGTTTATGAAAATACAACACAAGGGAGTGTGTTGCTTCCTTAGTTTAGTGAAGTATTTCTACTTTTACAGTATACCGAATGTTTTACACTAAAAATGTTATCTACTTCATTAAGTGTTGGCATTTTGAAAAACGTTAGATGTCTGTAGACAAGCTTTGGTATGAAGCAGGAAAGTCAAATGAACTTCTTGTTCTGCAGATCAAACTCATACCGACCTAATGAATATCAAAGAAAGTAAAGTAAATTCACTTTGAAGAAAGATTTTCTCATCAAACGGGTTACACTGAGATTTGCGAGGTAATGAAATACAATTCAGTTTTAGATGATAATAGTTCTGATATAAAAGCAATTTTCGTTCTGCCTAAGGGTTTATTAGTGGTTGCTTTTATTTCACTTTAGTAAGATTTGTCGTGAGGGTACCTAGATCATGTGATCATTGTTCATGGAAAGGGCCTGAAATAGCCAAGATTTAACCCTATACATGATAAAATATAAATGATTGAAAAAGTATTCATCACGGATTACCACCATTTGGATTCCCGAATTTGGAATCCTGTCCGCAAGTATTCTTCATCAGCACACAGTACTTCATCGATCTTAGAAGGACAGTTGGCATTACATTACATTGATTGTTAACTGAAGAGTAGCTAGTCATTTTACGATGTGGTTGGTATGCTAGGAGACTCAGTGTAGTGCACTTTGATGGATATTAAGCCATTCAGGCCAATCGATAGGAGGCCCTGGACTTCTTACGAGGCGTCAATAGATTCCTGAACATCCATAGGTAATGTCTCTGACTTCAACACTGGATGAAATGAGTCTGACCCGGTCTGAAGATCTCATCTCTCTGATGTTTGCACATATGTACTGTTGACGAGTTGAGAATAAGCATCAAACCTAAGTCCAGAGATTTGTATAAATGCACCTTCTTACCATGCAATATTCCATTGTTATTTAAGAGACAGAAATTCGTATGGCATTGAGATGAATTTTTGACTTGATATTGAAATCATTTTCAGTGCCCAGTATTGGTCAGGTGATTTCGATACCTAAGTTGTGAATATACCATATCCATGAGGTCAGTAATTTTAATTACACGTAATTTCAGGCGTTTCAATTAGTTGGTGTCAATCTACGAAAAATGCCACCTTGGAATTGGTTAAGTCCTCTAGATTAAGGTTTCATCCTAGTTGGCACTCTATACCTGCCTACAGACTCCAGGAAGATGAGGCTTATTCGAAGACTGAAGACTGCCTCAATCACTGCTGAAGTCACAGAATTTATAACTAATCTCTTTTGTTGAATTTTCGATCTTCCATATGACTCTACAGTATGTGCGTAATGATCACTGAGCAATAATGCATGTAACTCCCAAGTCCTTCGTTAGGTGCTGATCAAAATCTGTCCCCAAAAATTTCGACTGTTTTAAGGGGAACAGTGAGTTACATAGACGTAGCACATATTGATGCAGTTTTATTTGCTAGATTTCGCTTAGAGTAAATTTATTGTTAATAATGATGTCAAGGTGATCACACAACTTTCAACAATGTTTCACCCCTGGTGGCAATAGAAGCACCACAAGAGTCTGCAATTAACATTCTGAGAACTCAGGAGACAATACAGTAATAGCAACAGGGGTTGTAAAATGTATCACATGGAATTCAAATCCTACAGTGTTGCTACATAAAAATAGAAGTCAAAAAACCTATATAAGATCCCTTACAAAGCTGGAATTACGGTGGCATTTAGACTCATGATCTATCTCAGAGGGAAATTATACAGGAGGGAACTGAGAAAAATAACTTTATCCCTCAAATACCATATAGTGATTCTGAGTTGAAGTTTATCGGTCAAAGTAGTCTATCAGGGTTAAACAGGAAAGAAGATCGTAAAAGTATAGAGAAATACAGAATGACAATTCCTACTGAGTAATCTGGCTCTGGTGTTGCTATGCATGAACTAACTCGTCACACTATAGAGTGGGAGAGATTGATTGCCACCATCCGACTAAAATTTGAAGTTCAAGATAGCTAGATGAAGGTAAAGATTGATTATTGAATCTTCATTCATCAAATTAACGCAACAATTAAAGATCCATCAAGTATTCCAGATATTTAGAAAATTCAACTTCCACTAAAATTAGGAGAAAGGAGAGCTACTGGACAGTGAAAATGAAATTTGAATGGTGCATAATTACTTTGATATGATTGTGGGCAATAGATTGTGCTTAAAATAGCATCCAGCGTATAAAACTGTATCACTGAGTCATACACCAAATAAACAGTCAAATAGGGAATTACACTTCATATATTGCAAACGTTCTATTCTTCTAATGTAGTTGTAGTTTTCTTAAAAGTGGAACCAATATATTCAGTGATGGGTGTCATATCAGATGCATCTTTAACACTTTATATTCAATAATTTCTACAAACAAATAACAACGCAAGTCTGATATCAAAACGTTTAATAATAACTAGTGACATTAGGTGTGTTATTTAAAAATACGTAGGACAAACATAGACCTGTGTGCCCAACATCATACAGAGACGTCTAACGTTACTAAACAGTGGTTTCGAGTCTTCGTTTACTTGGCTTGAGTTGTTCTGATAAGAAAATAAAAAAACCATTTACTTTTGGCAGACTTGTTGTACTTATGAAATGTTCGTTGACAGAAAGATTGAAATGAGTGTTTACTTATCCATGTAAGAAACGCTTATGATCGTTTAGTTGTCGTTTTTTAATGAATAGTTTGGCAACAACTGAGACTGTGTTCTGTTCATTCATCACTGTCCACAGCAGATGTGTACTTTACTCACTGAAGATGTTATTTCGCTGTAGTGAATGACGTCTTGTATTTAGATGCTGGATTTAGCAATTAGTCAAACTGCGTGAATCTGAAGACCGTTTATTGTAAAACTTGTGGCATTTAAACGGAAATAGTTTCACAGATTTCTTATACAAATGCTACCAAGTTCTGGTTTATACGTTCTAAAGCATCCATACAACTGATAGGTGATATGTTTTCGATAAACTAGTGTGTTTTAGTGATTGATCTAGGGTCTGATGAACTGAACTGCACAGTAATTGGTCACTGCAAGGCAACAAATTTCATTCTTCTTAGTTTTGAGTGGCAATCGGATTCCAACAACTATTTTGTAAAGTGTTCACTAAGACACTAAACTTGACGACGTACCTTGTTTAAAATTGTTTAGTATGAATGAATGAATAGCTTAGCGGTAAGGACATGAACGAAGCACTGATTAGCACAGTTTTGAATCCTTCAAGAAACAACAGTCTCTCTAAAGTTCCTTTTTTGACTGTAGCAGTGGATTATGCAAGTTCCAATCCCGTAGGAGATATGGGTTACCATGAGGTTTGGGAGACACTTTATTAAAGAGTAATAACGAGCACACCACCTTAGTTTCGATTTCGCCTTCGATTACCTCCAGCCAGATGGCATCAGCTGTGTTCTACTCACTAGTAGATTACTTATATTTCAAAAGTTAGGATTTATCTTCGTTTCGCAACATAAAATGAAAGTGACTTTATTTCGTTTGTTAGGAAGTCACTCAAAATTACCTCGACACTTTTCTTCTACCAGGTGACCTACAAACAGCCACAGAGACAAAATTCGGGATTCTATTAGCAAGAAATGTATGGTACACTACCATTATTGAACCCTTGTGGTGAATGAATCGAACTTCACTTAGAAGTCATTCTCATTGCTCTTGACTGGCATTAGCTTTAGGTGTTACAGATATATACAATATGAATCACATTCTGCCTAAGTATAAAAAGTACTTTCCTATTATCAGAATGCTTTGAGTCGCTAGAAATGTAAAAATACCAGTTAGAACAGACGGCTTAATAATAACAACCATCACTTCATTCCAAACAATTTCGGGCGAAATTTGGAACTTTCTGGATGATATAATTTCACAACAACAAAATGTATGTACGTACATACTCATATACAACATTTCGAATATTGTTGTTATAAGAATTTAAGTAATGTAAAGAATATCAAAGAAGAAGAGGATAATACATTGTTAATTAAAATTTCGAAAAATTATTTATTGCTGCTAAGTTCCTAAGAAAGTTCTGTTCTCAGAATGTTTCGTCACATAATATGCGTGACAGGTTAGGCAAAGTTAAATTCATGTATTTAAATACACGAGCGTACATCGTTCCATAATTTCTTATTGTCCTGCCCTAAAAGCATACACTGGCAGGTGAATGTTCACTGTCAGTTGAAATTTATATATCTAGTTGCCTGTTAGAGTTTATATGTCTGTCAACAACAGTATTAATCACTTGCGCGAGAGGTAGAGCACTCAACACACTGACGGCTCTCAAAGCCGATGCAATATAACACTCTTTTTCAATACACCAGGAAAGAACAAAGAGAAACAATGGAGAAAATTAGTTACCATGTCGAGATTTACAAATTCTAAAAGTAAAGGTTGAGTCACATCAGAAGCCTCACTTTCTTCACTTAATACGTTAAAACAAAGACTTTCTTGAAAGTAAATACGATTTGAGAAGGCGAACCAAAATCAAAAGTAAGTCTCCACTCAACATAGTAAACAATCGACTACCTTTGAACAGCAATACCATCAACACAACAGGAGTCATGGGACCTTAGCAGCTCACAAAAGGCTTCGTTACACCTGAGGCTAAAATTAACAGTCTGACATTTAGAAAGGTTTATTTTATGACTCCTTGAGAAAGACCATTCACCAATTACAGACAACAAATCATACAATTCAGAGAAACATAAGTGAGAGTCAAATAGCACAGAAGTCAACAGGTCATCGGGATGCTTAGTAGAATTAGTTTCAACACAATAAGGTGAATTGTGTGAATCTGAACGGAAACAGAAACGGTGAAGGTACTAGACCTTGAGGCAAACCAGCAAACAAGTGGCTCCCTTACTCCGGTGACCCAGTGAACAATGCTACGGCGTTTGAAGCCATAGTTACTGGGCTCAACTCTCAGTGGAAACAGCATCATCATAGGCGCGCAGGTACATCCAGCTGACGAGTCGCAAATAGGAGGAAACGGATATCATCGATTCTACTCCCAGTCACCAACATGAATACAACACTAACTTGTCCAGTATTCTGTGTTTTACTGTGGTCACATTTCAAGCTTGACCGATTTCGCTACGCCACCACTTGCTGGTCTATTTCTGTGGTTTACTGCTCGCTTTCCCAACTGTAACACACGTATAGAGTGCTCGTCTATCAGACTCCACAGTTAGTTGAAACGAAGGATGCTCAGGAAGTAGCATCAGAATTAAAGGTGCATAATTACTGAATAAATTCCTGTAACTCTAATGGATAACAAAACCATCTTGAAAGAACTATTACAAAGTTTAACCAACTTCTTTCTAATTTGCTCAGAGTGACTGGATAGTCACCAGACAACAAGCAATATCTTAGGCACTTTCATGCATCCTTATTTCACTTCAAAACATTTCGAAATGTTTGAAGGCATGCAGGTTATGTTTTTGAAATAGCATGCGATAGTTGATCGTATTCTTATCCACACCAGACTTTAATCAAAAACAACATTCATACTAGGCTTTATAGGTTTTCCTAATGAAATACGAGTTCTGTTTACATTAAATGAAGCTATATATAACAGGAATGGTCATGACCTCCTTAGGCTAGGTGGAACCTGATTGAATATTCCACTATCACAATTCTCCAACTAACATGTGAATCAAATCTGAACACATCATGTACTCTGCACATCTCTAAAACCATTTCAACATAGAGATGTCACGTTATATAGATGTGGACTATTCAATGCGCAGAAGTACACAATATTTCTATCCCACAGATACTAAGCTTGAGTTACAGATTCTTCAATTGACTAGATGAATCACCACCACCAAAGTTGTGCTCGTCATTCTGTTGATTCTTCATTAAGAAACGGACGGTTATCGTAAGGTAGCTGACTGTTTCACATTCTTGCATTGAATTCTGCTATTATTAGCATCATTCGAATACATTAACATTTTTTATGTGAAAATACTGTTCTATGAATGACTTTGTTGAAGCACTACATGCTGAGAATTTCATACTGTATCATACATATTGTTTGGAAAAAAGCGATTATTATTTATAATATTATTAATGAAGAAAGCTTAAGTTCTAGACATGTAGTTATTTTCGGAAGATACCCTGACTATTTTTAAAATAAGGAAGCATATTGACAGACTTCAATGCAAAGTCTGGTATAATATATAATTAGTCAAATCCACCCAGAAAGCAGTCGATTTCTCGTGAAATAAAGTTGATGCTCTTACTGCTTCTTTATAGAAATCCATGTTTCTGGAGGCCATCAAATCATTCCATAGGGAGGATGAAAAGAAGGAATTTATTTAAAACGCCACATCTAAAATTTATGTCATCAGTACCAAAATTGTTAGTTAAATTGGTTCAGGATATCAACACAGAAACGGAAATACTCACCTGAGCAATTCTCTTCAGTCGGATTCCAACGCGTCCATCAATTTTCTTGACTACTATGAATCTGATTTTTGCTAGCATTGTTCTATGGGAAAAAATATGTATGTGAGTAATATGAATTTTCAGGGAAATAACTGCTACAGTTTTTTTTTCTACTCGTTCAACTGTAAATATTCTTAAAAATGCAATGTTGGTATATTATTGTTTAACTGAAATCAGTCCAGAATGAAAGCTTCCACCTGAATCAGACAAACACTAAAAGTTAACCGTCTACTACTAAGGGATCTGATAAGCAGCCACCTCAGTCCACTACCTCAAAACGGCTACATGAAACTCTGAAAACAGATAAATAATGCATAATGCAATCGACAGTAAATAAAAATACACCACAGACTATAAAACTGTATGACCTTCACTGTATTCGAATTTTCGTCGTGTAAATATTAGGATGACACCAGATGACTTCAAAAAGTGATTCGGTGAAAAGAAGTTTTTTCTTTTTGTTTTATGCATCATGTGATATGTGGTAATTTGATGTCATTTAAAAGCAGTCATTCACTCACTGTTGAACGAAGACGAAAACATAATAAGTGTCCAGTGTTTTGAAAAGACTGGTGTTTTCGCCACTATATTAATAATATTAATAATAATAATAATCGGTAGGAGTTTTTGTTTTTGGTTGGCGCCAGTGTCCCCGTTATAGGGAAAAATTGATATGCATGACTTGTAAATAGGTTAGTATGCAAAAAACCAATGAATTTGTATCGTGAAGAAAGACGATAAAGAATTTTGTGACAATATTATAAAAATGAACATAAGAAGATTAAGGCTGTAATGTTTTATTTGATTTCCACTTTTTCTGTAGTGCTTATCTGTGACGATAGTCAATAGGAATTTACTAACAAATAACTTGCGGGAGCAAACAGCTTTGAATAGTTTTTGGTAGTGTTATATTCTCTTATGTGTATGATTTAACCGTTAAGCTTTCATTATCATTCTAGACAACATTATCAGCACAAACTTAAGAATGAAGTGAGTTATAAGGCTTTCTCCACAATTTATTTATTAGCTTATGTGTGACTGGTTGTTTTTACCAAAGTCTTGTCATTGTCGCCATATTTAGGAGTTTGGTATTCAGATCAGTCAGTAATCAACCGATACATATTGATATTGGCCAAGTCTATCAACCAATAAGAAACAACAGGAAGGTCAAATTTCAGGTCATCAAAAGAACTAATTGTGAAGACAATGGCAAGACTTTGTGAGAAACAGCCAATCACACACGAAGCCATCAAAACAAGCTACTGAATACACTGTGGAGAAAACCTTACATTTCCATTTCGTGAGTAAACAGCTTAGAATATGTTTTAATTGGTAACGTTTGTGACACTTATGCCTACAGTAAGTAATATTTCAAAATCTTGTTGAGTTTTATTACCTCTTACTGGTAATGCAAAGTTGGGATTACAGAAAATTATTAGTATTTGGTTTAGATCTTATGATGAAAACTGCCTACGGGACATTAGATAAACATCATACAACTCATAAACATAACCATCCAAAAAGTGTATTACTTTATGTCACACACTGAAGTCACGAGTATGGCAGATGATAAGTGGCAACAAATATATAAGAACTCCAATACATCAACTACCTAACAATCAACTGTAGTTTTTTGAGAAATGGAATCGTGTCTGAGTTGCACAGAATGCACTTATGATTTCATAACAGAAAACTTCCAAATGTATACTTTCAGTTTATTGCTTTTAAGATAGTGTAACCAAACATATCTAAACTTATTTTATGAATAATTCTCAAATTTGCTAGGATGAAAGAGAACCAACCTTGGGCGGTATGCAATCTTTAAATGATACTGTGTTGAACGTATAAGTTGGTTTATAGTGTTGATGGAAATTGGCTGTACTGAAACACCATTCAGTTGTAAAATCTCATCTCCAATTTTCAATCCAGCTTGTGAAGCTACCGAACCAGGTAACACTGTGGTCAGAAATGTCCCCTATAAATGTTACAAAAACATGTGGATACATAGACTTTTAGGCTTGACTAGTTATTACTTTCAAATAAAAGAACATATAATGGGTTCTGAAAAGAAAATCAGTATTATTTCTGTTTATGCGCATCATAAACAGAACATACCACTGACTTAAAAAGTAAGCAATCCACTAAAATATAACAGCCACTCTTGAGAAAATTAATGTTAATTAAAGACTATAGATTCCAAAATGAGTTATTATGGAATGGTTTGAGTCAATAATATTTTTTCTGTTCATAAAATTTCATCTTAATAGGCATCGAAGTGATTCGATATCAGTTATCATACAAAAGAAATCTCTTCAGATTAGACCGGAAGCCGTTTCAAATGAGCATCTAAGTGTTGCTCCCTGTTTGTTTCAGACTCTTGTAAAGGTGTTAATATAACAATTTATGGAAATGTATTAAAAGAAGTGAAATTCTACTTTGTTAGTTGAAATATTGGTCAGAGATTATTTATTGCTGCAAAGTTGGTGAGTTTTGTATTTTTCGGAATAGTCATACTTTTGACAGCCAGTTACCAGCCACTATAGTGTTTTTCCCTAAATTAGTTATCAAATTATAGAACAATAGGTCGTAATTATTTTGAGGATGCGCCAGAGTATATAATATGGTTAGATAACATAACTGAGTGATTTAAACAATGTGGAAAGGAGAAATTTTGATGCATATATTCCGTGGTAAAATGAGGTAGCTCAAATTTCATGCAGGCAGTCTACAGGGTATATGGGAAGTAAGAACGCATAACATATAAATGAATAAAGGATAACATTCAGATTATTTATGCAGAAGCATTTCCTAGAAGGTTAGATTTTTTGATTTGATTTGCATAAACAACTGAAGCCAGTCAGTATCAATGTAGGATCCGTTACTACTGCGGAGCAGTTCAAGTTTTCACACTTCACATCAGGATATTAGTGTAGAAGGTGTTGAGGGGAAAGATAGGGGAACAAGAAAGAAAGTTATAGAAGATGTTTGCAAGCGATGAAAAGCTATACAGAAGGAATGAAGCAATAATGAATTTACTATGGCAATTAAGATTGAGATACCTTGAGGATGTATTTGATTGAGATGTGTAAGATCTTTTCCGAACCATGTCACATGATCTCCAGTCACTGATTTCGATTCTCATGTGGATCTCAATCGTGAATTCTTCATTTCCCTACATCTTCCAGACTAACATTAAGAGATTTCATCGACTGATGTTATGTTATAATCTAGCTGCCTCTTACTTTTTCATGAACCAAATCTACAGCAGCTAATATTTTTGTTACTTGTAGTCTCTCGTTACTGTACTGCGTCGAACTCTTCGACCTCTGTTGAAAGGTGGGTTACTATGAGGATACCTTGGCACTATATGACTACTCATTATGTTGATGTCTTATCGAAATCCAGGGCGCATGTTTCTTTCCCTATTAGCGACTTGTTGGATGAGTGTACCTACATCTCAGTGAATGATATTGTTCCCATTTAGACGAACACAGTGTCCAATGCTTCAAACACCAAAACATTATCTTCTAAATTACTGAAGTATGGGAGACACTGACACCCACTGATCTATGTATTCAGGAAGATACTGTCGACAACCTTGGTTTGCCTTCGTAACTTCAATCTCCTATACCTGTAACTACGAAACTTCAGGACCTTGTGAATCTTTGTTTTTTCGTCTTTTCTTCATATGTATTCGAAAACTTACTCTTACTTTCGGAGGTGTATCCATCTCATTCTTCATTATAACCAAAGTCTGTTAACCACTCAAAATGACTACTGATCATGGTTACATGGACTGACTGGTCATGAAGGAGCAATTAATTTCACATTGTCTAGTCCTGAAAGCTGACCGAATCCTATCAATCATAATTGAAACGTAGCCACCAAGCTAGGAGGCTCAGTATCATGGTGCACATTTGTAGATGTTAGTTGATTGGAGGCAATCATATGGAAGCCCTGAACCTAGGTTTCGTGTTTGTTAGCCCTCATCAGCGAGATCAGCCTGCAACCTCAACGGAACTGATATCCCGCCTGGGATTTGGATGTGCGTCACTCACTGCCGCAGTTACAGGCCAACCAATGTGCCTAATGCAGTCATCCAAGACACCATTCACGGCCTAAATAGCCGAGTGGTGACGTCTCTGATTGCAGCGCTGGGTGGAGCGGGCTGGAATCCGAGGTAAGACATCACCTCCATTGGGGTTGTAAATACGCCTTGCTGACGAGGGCCAACAAGAATGAGAACTAGGTGCAAGGCTTCCTAACGATTCTCTCCTACATACATTCATTTCATGTAGTTTTTGACGTCAATTCGCCCAATTAACTACGAGAAACAGTTCATTTTGTTAAGATTAGTATATCAACGAGTTTTTAATCGATCTCCTGATTACTTCTTATTTTTGTGTACATTTCATGCAAACCATAATTCATACTAATTTGATGTTTCCACACACACGTGTAACCATTGTCCTAGAAAAATAGTAATGGTACCATAATAATCAGTACTGCTGAAATCTTGTTATTGCTTTTAAATAGGAGTGAATTTTAAAAAAAATGTCTTTTCACACCTTTCAAAATCCTGTATATAGTAGTCATTTCAGACCTATATAAACGGATAAACATGATGAAAAAAACTTTTTCCCTTAGTTAATTTCGTAAACGAAGTGTCTTATGTTAATATTATAATCTAATACAAAGAGTAGCTAATAATCTTTTGAATCACATCGATGAAAATATCCTACATTTATCTGATTAAGCAGTGATTTCAGCGGTCATTTTTCTGAGATTCAGACTTCTTGAAGTATAAAAGGCGTATCAACTAATTTCTGCATATAGAAGTCTGTGAATAGAACTCAGGGGTAGCTTGCCTGTTAAAAGGATTCTGACTTTAAAATATATTTCTATAACGAATAAATGAGACTACACTGGATCGAAGACAGCTAAAACACTGGAGGACTGGTGCATATAATCAATAGACAATTCATTAGCAATGCCAAAATTTTATGCAACTAAATGTTCACATCTAAGGTAGATGGTTCGACAATCATCATTTAGTGTCTTTCGTTCAAATTACCTTCTCTTATTTCAAAAGCGATAATCGCTATTTTCCAAACAATATGTATGATACAGTATGAAATTCTCAGCATGTAGTGCTTCAACAAAGTCATTCATAGAACAGTATTTTCACATAAAAAATGTTAATGTATTCGAATGATGTTAATAATAGCAGAATTCAATGCAAGAATGTGAAACAGTCAGCTACCTTTCGATAACCGTCCGTTTCTTAATGAAGAATCAACAGAATGACGAGCACAACTTTGGTGGTGGTGATTCATCTAGTCAATAGAAGAATCTGTAACTCAAGCTTAGTATCTGTGGGATAGAAATATTGTGTACTTTTGCGCATTGAATAGTCCACATCTATATAACGTGACATCTCTATGTTGAAATGGTTTTAGAGATGTGCAGGAGTACATGATGTGTTCAGATTTGATTCACATGTTAGTTGGAGAATTGTGATAGTGGAATATTCAATCAGGTTCCACCTAGCCTAAGGAGGTCATGACCATTCCTGTTATATATAGCTTCATTTAATGTAAACAGAACTCGTATTTCATTAGGAAAACCTATAAAGCCTAGTGTGAATGTTGTTTTTGATTAAAGTCTGGTGTGGATAAGAATACGATCAACTATCGCATGCTATTTCAAAAACATAACCTGCATGCCTTCAAACATTTCGAAATGTTTTGAAGTGAAATAAGGATGCATGAAAGTGCCTAAGATATTGCTTGTTGTCTGGTGACTATCCAGTCACTCTGAGCAAATTAGAAAGAAGTTGGTTAAACTTTGTAATAGTTCTTTCAAGATGGTTTTGTTATCCATTAGAGTTACAGGAATTTATTCAGTAATTATGCACCTTTAATTCTGATGCTACTTCCTGAGCATCCTTCGTTTCAACTAACTGTGGAGTCTGATAGACGAGCACTCTATACGTGTGTTACAGTTGGGAAAGCGAGCAGTAAACCACAGAAATAGACCAGCAAGTGGTGGCGTAGCGAAATCGGTCAAGCTTGAAATGTGACCACAGTAAAACACAGAATACTGGACAAGTTAGTGTTGTATTCATGTTGGTGACTGGGAGTAGAATCGATGATATCCGTTTCCTCCTATTTGCGACTCGTCAGCTGGATGTACCTGCGCGCCTATGATGATGCTGTTTCCACTGAGAGTTGAGCCCAGTAACTATGGCTTCAAACGCCGTAGCATTGTTCACTGGGTCACCGGAGTAAGGGAGCCACTTGTTTGCTGGTTTGCCTCAAGGTCTAGTACCTTCACCGTTTCTGTTTCCGTTCAGATTCACACAATTCACCTTATTGTGTTGAAACTAATTCTACTAAGCATCCCGATGACCTGTTGACTTCTGTGCTATTTGACTCTCACTTATGTTTCTCTGAATTGTATGATTTGTTGTCTGTAATTGGTGAATGGTCTTTCTCAAGGAGTCATAAAATAAACCTTTCTAAATGTCAGACTGTTAATTTTAGCCTCAGGTGTAACGAAGCCTTTTGTGAGCTGCTAAGGTCCCATGACTCCTGTTGTGTTGATGGTATTGCTGTTCAAAGGTAGTCGATTGTTTACTATGTTGAGTGGAGACTTACTTTTGATTTTGGTTCGCCTTCTCAAATCGTATTTACTTTCAAGAAAGTCTTTGTTTTAACGTATTAAGTGAAGAAAGTGAGGCTTCTGATGTGACTCAACCTTTACTTTTAGAATTTGTAAATCTCGACATGGTAACTAATTTTCTCCATTGTTTCTCTTTGTTCTTTCCTGGTGTATTGAAAAAGAGTGTTATATTGCATCGGGCTTTGAGAGCCGTCAGTGTGTTTAGTGCTCTACCTCTCGCGCAAGTGATTAATACTGTTGTTGACAGACATATAAACTCAAACGGGCAACTAGCTACATAAATTTCACTGGGAACATTATCAGTCACTTTGTTGCGACCACATGCTGCTGATGAATCTGAGATGGTGCGAAACTGCGACCTATATTCTACTGCTAGTCACCATTTTGAAAGTAGCACCAGAATGTGTTTGTATGCGCGTATGTTTTGCCACCGAATAATTTTCCGATGTTTTTTTTAGCTCATCGAACATTGGTTAACTGTTTTTATTCCTAGCTTTATGAAATTAAACGCAGAAAATGAAGCATATACATATTACGAAACAGGCTTGCAGTACCTTTTCAAGTTTCTCTATCCGCATTCCAAACCGTTGTCCTACAGCAGGACGTGTGACAGTGATTTCGCGTACCTCCTGGATAGGTAGTCCCTTAGGTGAAACATAGACTGAACTTTCCAAACAATTCATGTGTGCCTTACACTTCCTCTGATTTGCATTTTTTTGATGAAGGCATCTCTCGGGAAATATTTTTTGATGATTACTGTTGGAAATTATGACATTCGCTAATTTTTGAGTGAGATCCTCATGAAAGAAATATGTTGGATTTCTAGAATTAGTACAAGGAACCATGATATGTGATGTATTAAGATGTGAAGTGACGTCTCTGCCACAGCATTCTTCTGTACGCATTGCAGGATAATAATTATCTACAAGGCTTTTCCACTGTGGAGACATATATTTATAGCACACTGTCTCATGGATCTCATCTCTATCACCAAGATGTACTGAGGCGTCGAATGATTTAGAATGTGGAAAAGACCAACCATTTGATTCGTTGTGCGCTGAAGGCGTACATTCCTTCTAAAATAAAATCCAAAAGGTTAAACACTGAAAGCAAATTTGAGTCTTGAATGATACGATAATAGGAAGCTGAGGAATATTTTACTTTTTTCACATTAAAGTTATCATAAATTGTAAAAGAATGAATGTCTAAAAGTTTCCTGCTAAGCAGGAAGAACAGTTCTACTAATCCACGGATAGAATACCACAAATTCAACCGTTTATAAGCGAGTTAAAATGATCAAGATTTATTGTTAGTAAATGTATCATTGTAGGCATATAAACTTAGATACAAAACAACCCAATTCGAAATGGCACAACAAAACAATTCATACAGAATAAAGAGAAAGCATACCTCTCACTAACGGAGTACCTACTTACCACCCTATTTGATTTTGATAGTTTACTGAAAAAATGAAGTCAATGTGTACAAATGATGCATTTGCATGACAGACTTTTGATAGTCTGATCTTTTATCTACTTTTTGGAGCAACTTCTGTGAAAGAAATTAAAAGATAATAATAGAACCAGTACAATGTAATATTACGGAAACTGTTTGTGTTAGGAAAGTAAGTTTGAAAGTGCACGAGCTAATAAAATAAGATAAATGTTGCCATAGCAACTGAAGCCGTATAATGAATAGGTTTACGTCGAGCAAAACAAGACCTAAATTAGCCTATGGCTAGCATATCAGCAAATCTGAGAACACTTGGAAGATAATCTGAGTTACAAGTAGCCAAGTTATTTATACATTAATAATGAATAATTGCCAGCAGTGGAATCCAGGACACGCGTTTCGTCCTACTCGGGACTCATCGGATGGATGGATCTACCTCTCAGTGAGCGATGTTGTTCCCAGTAAGACTGGAACTCGGGACCGATTGCTTCAAAAGCCAGAGCGTTTTCTACTAGGCCGGCGACTCACCTTAGCCACTTCTTGTGCGACGGGTATAGTTTATATAATGCTGCTCGAATTATCTGTCTTTGATTAGACTGAATTGTTTGTTCTCCATTTTCATGTGGGCTGCAGCTAATAGAGACCGATCAGTTCGGTCCAGTCAGAGACGGCGTAATACAAGCAACATCATGTCAACCTTTTTTATGCTTACGTGATAACATGAAAAGTGTTTTTTGGTGCATAAAAATGGTCATCTGTCACCTGCAGATAATAGTAGTTGAGAGTCTATCCACTTTGTGGTGGTTCCATCACATAATCCATATTCTAAATTGTCTCTTCATGTATGTTTCAATACTCACATGTTATCTGGTAAGCGCAGCACAGCACACACGGAGTTTGTGTGGGAGAGTGTATCTTGTCTTTACAAATATCTGATAAAGGTTATTGTGTATTGCACTTTCTGGAAACTTTTCTGTTGGTTTCAGTGAACATTTATATTACATCAATATTTTAATTAATATTTTGATATCATCTGTCATATTTATTTCGTAAATACGTTGCGTTATTTTGAATACAAACAAAAAATCTCTCATTGGACAAAGGTTGCGGAAAGTTTAGAACTATCTTATCCAACCAGGCAACCTGAAAGTCAACCATGTTTTGAACCATCTTCTGTCCGACCTGAAAGTATATCCAAAGCGGTGATAATCATTTTCTCCGCTGAGTTTTACAAAGCATTTGGTTTCATATGGTAAATAGTTTTAAAAAAATACAATTAGTATCCTTATTCTTGTTATGTATTGCAGTTATTTCTTTGATGAATATCTTGTAAGCGAAATTTTTAACAATCAGACGGCCAGCCAATGTTTCAACAGACAACATGAATATTAACTAACAGTGATGCTAAAGAACTCTACCTCACTCTAGACTTGTCGAAAATTCTCAACTTTGGATATAAAATGAACCTGAAAATTGCATACTTACAATAGCTCTTTCTGGTTCATCGGAGAGATTGAAAATGAGAAGGTACTTCTTAAATATTATATTATCATGTTTGTCTAAGTTGATATTCTCCCATTCTTCCTAATCATGCCATATATCATGTGCGGGTAGGGATGTTAACAGATAGTTTCAAATGTATTATGCAAATGTACCGCATTTTAGAAATGAAAGTTATCTCCTTATCAAGTATTTATGTAGTTAAGGTGTAAGAGTATGTGTTAAGTAACGACGTTATTATGGAAGGTGCAAACTATAATGACAAAGATAATTATGTGCAGACAGCATATCTAAAGTCTTACACAGTAGTATTTTCACACAATGAAATGTAATATTTTTTTCAAATATAACCAACTTACTTTTGTTTCACTTCTTGGTTTGTTCATCTGTAAACGTGATAGATCTGGTTCTTTATTGCTCTGAATATGATAATCAGGAGTACGTAATGCACTTGATGTATACTCAAGGTTTCCAACTGATTTACTTTGACTTATTCCCTTACTATTGCTCATTTTGCGCTCAAACACATTCCATACACGTCTTGCTTTCATTTTAAAGTTAGATATAGGTGGACTGTATAGTTTATTCGTCAAGTTGTTGCTGTAATATGTATGCATGTGTGGCTTTGATTCTCCACTCTCTTTATACAGATCATTACATGGATGCGTTTGTTGGCTGCTAACATTATCTACACATAGGTGATCTTTGAATATTCTGTTTTTATTAAAATTGCGTTTATGATTTGTTCCTAGTAATGGAGCTTTCGGAGTTGTGGTTGGTGACAACTGTCGAGATGATAGTGAAGATGACCGGGATGATGTTGTTGATGATGATGGTGGAAATGAAGTATTGTGTACGGAATGCCTATTATACAAATTAATGTCTGGAGTACAGGGATGAACATGCCTTAGTTGTATATCACCACCTTCACAAACATTTCGTGAACTCTTTATGCGTGAAAAGCAATTTCTGTGTAGCCTAAGTTTCCTTTCTGATGGCCCTTTACTGGTTGGCTGTTTGACAAAGTGGTGTGTTGTACTTTCCTTTAGATATTCACTTGTTTCATTCGGGATGACTTCATATTTTGGTGCAGACTTGTCTTGTAAATTGTTGTTAATAAATGCATAGGTCGTTTCACTCAATAAAGTCATATTTTATTAGTCTTTGGCATATTTTCATTCCATAATATCTGAAAAACAGTTTTAAAAAAATCAAATTAGTTTGATAAATAAAACAAAAGGAATACAATATCTGTAGGAATCATGAAGGCCTATTCAAGTTTTATACCCACCCCTTTTTGCAACTTGTACCACTAAACATCATGGGTTGCAAATTATGCAAACTGATGATGCAATGTTATAATGAAAGACTATCTATAAGTTATTGAATCACCACCTACAGTGACTTCCTCCATTGTTCCGTTTATGAAATTTATACCTTCAGGGTGAAGAAGCACAGCAATCAAGCGTCCTGTAAACGTTTGTTGATAATTGTACTTTCCCGCTGAATGTTATCTTGGATATTGTCTGAAGATTAAATATGATGTCTGTTGGTTGATGGTAGCCAACATTTGTGACAAGAACATGTGTTTCATCTTGTTTAGAACTGGTCAATCGGATGTACCTAGATTTCAGTGAGTGGTGGTATTCTTATTGAGACTCTCATATGGTGTCCACGACTTCAGACGTCAGCGCCTCATCCATTAGGCTACCGGTTTAGAGGAATCATTTCAAATATAAAACCTATGCGCTGCTATTTATTTGTATTTGAAATTTCTCGATGATAATTAGGCTGGATTGAACTAGTTGCTAATTGTTTGCCAATAGGCTTGTTCAAAGCATAGCTAGAAGCTGGTCTTCGTGAAAAAACACATTTATTGGAATGCAGATGCATCCAACTGACCAAACCGGTCTAAGATTCCACTAACAGTAAGTAAACTGGAGTTTTATGAGGATCTCAGTTGTAAAGAAGTGACAGGGGTTCTCGCAGTAAGATGCTGAAAACCATTGCATTCCCCATTATAATTCGTAAAGCATTTTTTCCAACATGAGTTTGACATCCTGTTCACCGAAGAAATATATATATATATATATATATATATATATATATATATATATATATATATGCAGATGCGAAAATGACTTAGGATCTTTTGGAATTTCGGTTCCTTTTTGAATACATGTCACTATCGCTAGCATTCAGAAATGAGTTATCGTTTGATGATGGCTAGCAGCGAAATCCAGCAGGTATGCTTACAAAGATAATAACTGAATTCGGGTCACAATGACAATATTACTACTCAGACGCAAGTTCGTATAACTGATTACTCACTATTTCAATGTAATGTTAATCCCTGATTTCACTAGTAGCTACAGTTAAATAAATATTCCAAATAGGTGTATAGCCTACCTCGCATTATTATTCCATTAAAATATGTGGTTTCTGTTTTCGAGTAATGGCTAATTTTCCTATTTCCTGTATGGACAAAAACTGCTGAATGTCGATGAAAATTCTTAAATGGAAATTTTAGATTTCGAGCATTAGTTGAAAAATTAATGTTGTTTCCTTTCGATCCTGTACTTGCTGGTATAAAACCTGTCGGAATTTTCAAAAATGTTAGATGATATCTAGTGACCAGGGCTTTACGTAAGCAGTAGGCATCAGTTTCGCCTCCTGCGGGGTCATATTCTCCGTTGTATCAGAATGTGCACGGCTTGTGACGAAATACTCGAAGGTTTAACTGTGTTTTTCGTAATTGTTATCGAGTTTATCAGTAATGTTTTCTGAATTGTAAAGAAGGAAGGGGAGAAGTTGACTCAGAAGAGGGTTTTCGTCTCGACTACATCATTTACTAGACCATTCATAGCACTGGAAACATAACGGTTTATTATTATGCGATAAATTAAGACCAGGATAACACATTAATACCAGACGGTAGGCTAAAAGCATGAGAGTACATGTGAAAAGACTTACACTCTGATATATAAGATGATAAACATGAGCAAGAGAGGATATACATTAAGGTGAAAATTGTTTCTAGATATGGTTTATCACGGTTAAATGTTTGCTTGACAGTATTAAAAAGGTGAAAAATGAAACAAGGATCATATTCTTAGTGTTAATAGTGAAATACTTGCTAATAATGAAAATAACGAAGTAAAAAGAAACAGCTTAGAAAGCAAGTCATAAATGGATTATCCACTAGTTGATACCTCTGCCATGCACAAATTTTGAAATTGCTCTCCTTTTAAACCGTTTTGCTCGTTTTGTCGGCAATAGCAGATGACTCATTTACATCTATAACGAACAAAATAAGGCGTTAAAATGAGTTTGGAGAAAATTTTGCTGCGTACGGACAATGAAACTAGTTCAAGAAGAGCAAGTTCTTGAGGCAGGTATTTCTTCCTACTAAGCTCTGATTTTTCTTCCCTGGTTTACATTTGACATATTGACGCCTTAATTACAATTTGATGCTTTTGACGTTATCAGTGTACGTCTACAGGTTTACTTGCTCATGAAGAACTAGTTATATAGCTGATATAAAACATGTTACTTACGAGGGTAATTCAGAGTAGTTTCTATCTTCCATGGCTGTCAAGAAATGAGCGCAACTACGTTAGTTTTCTAAATGTGACCAGTTGCTTGAGTCTGTTTGCAGAGCTAAACCATGGTAGCCCTTAAAGAATGTTGCACAAAGTCAAACGAGACGACCCAAATGAATCGGAGTTTCACAGCTTGTTCATCATAGAGTTAATAACGATTAATCATCTCTGTGTGAAGAATGCATCTCAGATACTGTCTTGGTCTCAACTTTTAGCCTCTGACTGTACATCTTCAGTAAATTATATTGAGGGAAAACGAGGTATTTTACTTCAGTGAATTCTTCACCTTCTTCGTTTTCAAGGTTCTTGTATTTTATCAGGTTAAGTCCAGGTCAAAAATAATAAGCCACTTTTCGATCCTACTATCATAAAGCTGGTGACTGCTTTTCACACTATTTGACCTAGGTACTAAGCTTCCAATGGACGGGCCGATGGTTCGAAGCGAACACCCCCTACCGAGGTTTGTCTAATCAGATAGTATCATTAGCCGTCACATAAGAGGTAAGGATCATTGCCTGGTAAGCTAATATGCAAAAGGTTGCTAAGTGGAATTCTATTTATTTTAAATTGCTTGACACTATATATATATATATATATATATATATATATATATATATATATATATATATATATATATATATATATATATATATAGACAATTAATCCACTAAATTTTGCGAAATGATTTTCGCGGCAATTCATCACTGAACTATATAAAACGAGATGTTACTAAAGAGAATTTCTCAGGTGATTTGTACTTTATGTGAGAGAAGCGAATGAAAATCCTTAGTTCGTAACCTGTAGACTATCCATATGTACTCTCAATCATTAAAATTGCGTCATTTTAGACCACAACCATAATAAGATATCAGAAAATACAAGTAAGCAGGATGTTGTGACTTCTGTGAATCATATTGCTTAAGGTTTTATGTACATTCATTCACTTTCATTTTATGTAATCTTCAATTTATTGAAATAAATAAAAACCAAACGATACCTATTGAATTTCACCGTAGAAAATAATGTAAAAATATAATTTTACCATCATTATTCTAAACTTGTCTTGAATGTGATTAAAAGATTGATAACCAGGAATTTTTCGGGACAAATATAAATGTATAGGTTTCGGCATACTTCCACTGATGGTCATCTCTATATCATATACATGTATAAATCAAACTCTGTTGCGAAACTGCAAGCATACTCCCTAAGTAATGTTCCCCATAAACGTACAGCTAAGTGTTACCTACTTTGATGTTCGCATACCAAAATAATGAATATATAAGATTACTTACTAATGTTTTACGAAGAAATGCGAAACTGTCAATCATCAGTGGCATTCTTATACTCTAAATTGTCTTGAAACAGGTAAAGTGTAACCTTTATGAGCGATTACGAGATATTAAGGCTTCTTGCCAAATAACTCTTCCAATCTCTATCAGAAATCCAATTTATAATTCTTTTTAAAGTTATCAGGAGAAGGAGAAAGCCATTTCCAACTTCTATGATTCTTGTATCTCACACGCTGTGTCCTTTGAATATATAAGTTCACTAATATAAGTAAAATATTTGAATAAACCTTTCTGTATGATTGTCATAAAAAAGGGAAGCTTACAAAAAATTCTTAGAATAAATGTAATACTGGGTATTTATCAAAAACGTTTAAATAAATCAGAATTTTCAAACAAATGAACACTTAATTTTGTACTGAACTTTAGTTAACTGGGAAAAAGAATTGTACCAAACTCAGAGACATAAGCATTCATTGGTTGATCGTAAAATGGAAACTGCAACTTATTATCAATCTTAAAGTATAGATCTTTCAAGTTTGACCAATAAACTTCAGGTGATAAATGTAAGAATAATGAAATGGTTTCAAACAATGTGTTTCTTGCAAAGTGAATAAGTGATATTTAGTCTATGTGACGATGAGACACTTTCATACTAAGTAGCTATCCACATCATGACTTCTGAGAAGTTGCCAATTATAGTTACTGAAGGCTATAACAGTCCTTTTCAGTCATAATCGTTTTAGCATATCTAAGCACCTGTTAACTAAATATAAAAATTTGATAATTACATAGCATATGAAAAGGGAAGTTATACGCAAATTATAGGTGACAGGTCCTAGTGATTTCACTAGAGTAAACGAAATCTATTTTAGCTGATAACTAAAGAATATAGTGATTAGAGTGAAAATCCATATATATATATATATATATATATATATATATATATATATATATATATATATATATATATATATATGTAAACTATTGTACTGCTTTTGAAAATAAATTCATCGAAAGGGATTCCTTTCGCTAAACTAGATGTTCTATGAATTTATGAAGGTAAGCAGGATTTACTTTATCCATTTTAGTGTTATCCGGAATGGAATTCTCCAACTTATAGGATTTCGAGAACCTTCAAACATATTTATCTTCCATCTACAACTTGACAACAAGAATGAATTGCAATTTTATAACCATATCATGTATATATTGTCTACTAAAATAATTGCGATGCTCATATGATTTAAAAACTATTTAAAACTCACGCATGAATGTCTCCAGTATATCTGTCAGAA